ACAGCTTTATGTTTAGTTAATTAGAGAAATGAATATTTACTTACTTAGTAAATTTGCTATTTATTTATTAGTTTATTAGTTAGATGCCTGCATTAATGTCATTATGTTAAGAAGCTAGTTTATTTATATCTCAGTAGGTATTTTGGCAGATATTCTGTTATTTTTTTCCTTGGTTTCATTTGTCCCAAAAGTAAAATTTTGCCTATAAGAAAAATTATAAACGAAACATTGCATGCATATGCACTTCAGTTTAACAATACCTCGAGCGCTAATTTGACTGCCTCCTCCAGAGCCTTGTTTGCTACATCTAATGACAGATGATGCAGTTCAACAACCTGTTTCACTGTGTCAAGATCGCGGGCGACGAACTTGCTTCGCTGACATGACTTCACAACTCGTGCGTCGTACTCAGTAGCCGTGGGTTCATTTGGACTAGCCTGATGTTGCTGGCCTGTTACTGAATCTGATGAGCTACGTGAGGGCGAGACAAGTGATGAAAGAGAGGATAAAGCTGACGCCTGGCTGATTTGGTCGTTAAGAGAAAACCGGAGCTGGGAGGTCCGATTTTCTGGAAGCTTGGTTTGAAATGAGTTGAGCCCTGAAAAACCACTAATTAGGATGTTGGATGAGTGTGAAGGTTTTGTGGGGCCACCAATGACAGAAGAGACCGGGAGAAGTAGCCATCCAGGCATCAAATAGATTGCCAGATCGAAACCGAAACGAGAGAGCCATAAGTGAGGTATGAGGAGGTCTGAAGAAGCCTGGAGACAGAGAATTTAAAAGACGAATGTTTAAATAGAACATTGAAATATGCATTTATATATCATTAAAATTATATACATATATATAATCGGACTATGCATTAATAAAATTCTAAATTACTAAATATCATAAAAGAATTAATGTAAAGATTGTTGTGTCATTTTATAAAAAGCCGTATCAAGGCACCCTTGAAGGCTAAAAATAGTTTTAGGAAAAGACAAATAAAAATGGGGAAGGTATGAAAGGCGCATAGCGTGACAAGAAAATAAAGAGATACACAAAAAAATTGATAAGACAAATATTGGTTAATAGGTAAATTGTTGTAGAGTTAAACATTATTAAAGATAGAAAGTTAGCTAAATGGATAAAACGATTAGGATAATCTTTATACAGTAC